GACCTTGAAAATATTTTAGCTTGTCACGGTCTGTATCATATCGTCACAATTTCAAAAAAATCCTTCGAGATATCCATCGGTGGAGTTCGTGGTGGAACATCCTGTATATTTTGTATGCACTTTTTACGACAGTGAATCAATAAAAAGATGATTTGAATGATTATTATCAATTCTAAATACATTTTAGTATAAAATTTTAAATGTTCCACAAATTTAAATAAATAACGAATATTATTCTGTTGCTATTTCAATAATATCAGTAGAAAGCAAAGAGATTTAATTTTTAAGATCTTAGAATATCGGATGTCCCAAAATTCATGCAAGATTTGAATTTTGCGCCATTTTTGAGGTACAGTGTTGCCAACGAAAAAAAGGCAGCGTGACATTTGAGAGTTCAGGGTTACTAAAAATGGAGCGGTACACGAAAGAACAACGCGTTTTCATTGTTGATTGATATTTTAAAAGTAATGAAGGTTTGGCAGCTACAGTAGAAAATATAGTCGGAATAGTGATTTAACTTCAACTGTGAAGAGATTAATTGAAAAATTCATGGAGACTGGATCAATCAGTGATCTTAAACACTCTGGTCATCCTTTAACAAGTCGTGCAACACAAAACATAGAAGTAGTTCGTGAGAGAGTGTTGCTGAGAGTCCACGACCACGGCATCGTAGTCAAAAATTGGTAATTTTGAGAAACTCTACAGCGTATTCTCACGAAAGATTTGCATTTTCATGATTATAAGGCGATTTTCTCAAGAGACAATTTTCTTTTTAAATAAAACGACGTTTTCAATGTTGCTGCCCGTTTTAAAAAAATACGACCACTTTAAAAGTTTTGATCGAGGTAACCGGAGAAAACTATCATCCAGTATATCGATTTGACTAAAACTTTAAGAAATAATATGTCATAATAGTCCAAATAAATGTGTCAAATTTTAACTCGAGCGGTAAAAGGGTTAAGAAGTTATTAATTAAATTAGTTTTATTTTTGACAACTTTGAAGGCCTGTAACTCAAAAACCAAAAAGTTTTTATTTAACTTTTCTTTCGTAGATCGTATTTATTTATCGTCGTGAATATGCAGTCATGTCAGTGAAATTTGCGGTCACCCTGTATACTGTACACTTTATGAATCAATAAAAAAAATTACAATTTTTAATTAAAACCTGCGTTTTCTATCAAAATACTTCTTGCGTGAATTTTGAGACACCCTTCATAAAGTTTTACTTAAGTTTTAAAATTAAAATAAAGGTTTGCTCGTATAGTGATAGTAGAACTTTAATTATAAATCATGATTTCGTATCACGGGTAGTCCAAAAAAATCTTTAAATTAATAAACATTAATAATATTGATAGGCCTATAAAAATGCCATAAACAGCAATTAAAAAAAACGCTATTTAGTTACGATAAATAAATTTGTTATAGGATAATCAGTCTGACTACACAGTGGCGTAACACAGCGATGCCAGACGTAGACGTTTTTAAATTTGTTTATTGACGTATGTATGTTTTTAATTAGAATATATATATATATAGTTGATGTTTGACATTGAAAACTGCTTACTTACTGTTTCAAGCGTTTAAGCGTTACTATCCGTTTAATGAGTCGGTTAGCTGGATAACATTAATTATAATTACATATAAATAGGACAGATAAAAAATTGATAATAAATATTTTTTATTCATCAATCAGCTTGTGTTGTTTCTATTTATATCCACGAAAGTACGTATTTTCTCAAAAACAATGTTCGTCCATATGAAAAATGTAGGTATGCAAAATATATCTAAGTTAGATAAGATTCTTAACTGGTGTAATGGCGGGAAGCAACTGCTCTATTAGCTACATGCCCTAACTAGCAATCCGATATAAACAGCTAGTAATTAATAATTATCTGCAATAAAAAATGATATGTCTAAATATAAAAATTAATGAATAATGTAATCTTTCAAAGAATTATCTTGTATTTTTGTCGTCATACATACATTGGCGACAGCGGAGTGAAAAATTACGAATTTTCCAAACATCAGTATCTTCGCTTAGAAATAGTCAAAAACACACCGGTACTTCACAATTATTAACTAATATTGAACCTAGAAAACCTGAATCTAAAACGTAGGCAATATAAGGCCAGTTCTGGACTTTTTCGGACTGTATCCCAACTGATTTGCTTTTCAAATATGGTATGTTTTGGAAATTTTCCGACATTTCCATTTTTTTTTGCATACGGGGTACTTTTTAACATGGAATATACTGACCATAATGTCAAAGGTTTAATTTTATTAATTTTATGTTCGAAAAATGCCAGTAATACTGCTTCGGACACTTTTTGAATTTTCTTCGAACTATGCCACCCTTTGAATTCGTTGTAGGGATTTTTTAGTGATTAATTGTGAAACAGCCGCTTCCAGTACGTCCTCTGGTAAATGCTCGTCTTCACTTTCCGAGCTCATTTTGAATTAAACACTCTTAGACTAAGAATTACAATATAGTATACCTAATCCGGACACTACTTTTTCAAACAACTAATTTTTATTGTTTATTAGGTTGCTATCGGTATGATAGTCGGGAACATAACTTCATTACCATTCTCGAACGAAAAGTACAATTTCGTGTGTTCTAGATACAACTCTTATTTTCAAAATATGCCACTACGCATTAGAAAGTGTACGATATAAGAAGATTTTGAGCCATCAAACTTTTTAGACAGGGGGGAGTAGTAAATGTGATGTATATTAAAAAAAAATCAATTTTTTTTTCCTAAAATCCCATTAGTGAAACACACAAAGTTCTTTGTAACGAGCGTTTAAATAAAAACGTGGTCAAGTTGGTTCTGAAAATTTGGACGTAGGGCGTAGCGTATAGCAAATGAACTAAACGTCATCTGTCAAAGCGCTATATCGCCGCTATCAATTTGAATATTTTCGTTTTAAAAAGCGTTTAAAATGGTGTTTTCTCAAGAACAAAAACTTTAGAAATGGACGCAAGATTGATGGAATATGGAAGTATTCTATTGAGGAATGTTTCATAGAATTTCAAAATCAATTTCCCGGCGTTGTTGAGTAGAAAATTTTTCAAAGTGCAGTTCAGCGTTGTGTTAATGTTTTTCGTGAAACGGGCAGTGTAACAAGAAAAGAAGGAAGCGGCCGACCTAAAAAGCGGACTGAAGAATTAAAAGAAAATGTCCAACAAATAATGGAAAATGCGCCAAGAACTTCTGTACGTGTTTTATCACAAATGGTGGGAGTATCAGTCGGTACCTGCCACACAGTGTTAAAAAAAGATTTGCGTTTGTTCTCCTATCGTTTAACTTGTCAGCAAGAACTTCATGAAGTTGATTTTCCGCGACGGGCTCTATTTTGTGAATGGTTTTTAAACAACTACGGTGAACTTCATAATATCACCTTTTTTTCTGATGAAGCCTGGTTTCATTTAAGTGGTTACGTAAACTCACAGAATATGAGAATGTGATCTTCTGAAAAACCAGATGACTTTTTTGTCGAGGGCCTTCTACACGCTCAAAAAATTGGAGTTTGGTGTGCTCTCAATCGAAGGAGGATTTATGGACCTATTTTTTTTAATGGTACTCTTACTGCGCAGAGGTATAGAGAAGAAATTATCGCTCTTTTTGTTAACCAGCTGGAAGAAAACGAAATTACAAACTTTTACTTTCAACAAGATGGCGCAAGGGCACATACGGCAGGCGAGACGATGAATATGTTGAGGGAAGTTTTCCAAAATCGACTAATAAGTCTCAATGCTGAACATGAATTTCCACCGAGGTCATGTGATATTACGTCGTGTGATTTCATTTTGTGGCCTTACCTTAAAAACACTATTTTTGAACTGCCTATTCCTGATTTAAACCATCTGCAGGCTCGACTTATAGACAAGATTCGTGAAATTAACAATACCCGAGCATCTTAGAAAATGTCTTTAATTCTTTGAGGAACAGGTGTGAAAAGTGCTTAGAACAAGGAGGGGGACACTTTCCGCAGCTCCTTTAATTATTTGTTATTGTTATCACGATTATTCTTTAAAATAAAGTTATATAGTCATTAACGTTATTGAAACTGACAGCTGCTATACAGCTCGTTGAGAAATGAGGTTAAGTTGGTCGCTATAAGCTACTCCCTACGTCCAATGTGTCAGAGCCAACTTCGAACACGTTTTTATTTGAACGCTCGTTATAATCTCTCATCATAGGGTGGTCATATCGGGGGTTCCCCAAGGTTCTAACCTTTAATCACTACTTTTCCTACTTTTATGAACGATCTATGCAGTAATATATCACGTTGTTGATGATTTAAAACTTTACCATGGAGTAACATCAATCGAAGACTGTATCGCTTTCTAAAGCAACAATTTTTTATCGTAGAGAAGTGGTGTATAAAGAATTAATTGCCATTAAATTCTTCAAAATATCGTCCCAACCAGCAATACCAGTAATCAGCTAATAATTAATAATTATCTGAAATTATATCCCTAAATATTATTAATAAAATAACACATCGTTATTATTTTTTATTTTGAGAGTACATAGTTGTTTTTCTTTAAGAATTATAGGACTAAAAAAAAAATAGAATTTGTTTGAATTGGTTCAATCCATTAAAATTAGAACCCTTAACTGCTTTTTTCAAAGTACTCATTTCATAACTATGCCCCAAATAAATAATAGTATCTAAGCCAACGCAACAAATATTTGCCTTCAGACAAAAGAAACGAGGGAATATTGAACCGTGTCAAAAGACAGATAACACTAATTAATTATTCCACATACTATCTGCAGTAATGACCGCCGATAAACAAGATCAAAAAATAACAGGACGTTTCTCCGGAAAAACGAGCGATGCCTACAGAATATCCACCCGTTTATCGCCCAGTAACAATTCCTCAAAATTTATGTTGCGGTCGACCCAGAGATTTTAATATTTATGATACGCTTTCCACTATATAATGGATACAATTAGAGAATTCCCACCATTTAGAGCACCGAACAATTTGTCTGTTAAATGACTAGCTTTTAAATACATGAGGAGGTAGAGCTTCCTTTATACACTTCTCAGTGTTCGACTCTCGCTCGGAGTCACCCGCTTGATATAGTTTCGTCAAACCTTCGTATAAACTAAATCGCGGAAAGGACAATGGTGGTTGATGAAGTTTGCTTAGTTTATAACTGGTACCGCGTAGGAACTAAATTTATTCGTTTAACAGTAAATATTGTGATTAAACACTTCGTTGTAATAAATAATTAAGAGATATGGAGTGTCAAAAGAACATACGGATAGATTTGACGGGCGAAGCTGAGGCAGAGACGGAAAGCGAGAATAAAACCGAAATTCCAACCCTTTCAGGGAGTGTTGATGCTAGAGAAAGAGTGTGCGGGACTAACAGTAAGGTTTTTTCTCCTAGAAAAGAGAAGAAGTAAGTATTTGTTACTGTATAAATTTAAATTTATTAGATAAGTCACCATTCACAAAGTCTTAAAGTTGTCCCATTTATTTGTTAGCAAAACATCCGCAATAATTTGTTTGTTTACAACATCTAGGTGAGTTTAGAAAAAATTCCGTTAATATCTATTTTATTTTGGAATTTCCTGTGGCATCGAAACTTGTTGTAAAATATTCTTCTGTTATAAAATGAAGATAATATTGATGATATTTAATAAAATAAATACGTCTATAATAATCTGAAATATTAATTAAAATTTATAAAATTAAATTTATCACCAACCTTAGATAAAAAGAAGGTTATGTTTATATCGCAACATATCAATAATTTTGTAATATTATGTATAAATATTACAATTCATAGAAAATCGCAATATCTCTTTTGAGTACAATAATTTCCTGATGAAGTAACAAAGATTTTAGTTTAATAACACCTATAAAGGAAAAATCATACCCTTTTCCTTGAATTTTATTAACTTTTAATAAGGCCTATAAACTATTAAATGTTAATTCAATTGTACGCACCAAATGAATCTTTTCAAAATATTTTATGTATTTGATATATATTTAATATAAAAAATATTTACGTAGATTATTCTATATGCAGTCAGTAATAGTTGTTATGGTGTTAAATTAACAATTAAATTTTTGTCCATATGTGGAAATAAATCCATATTTTGCACGACATACAAAAATTGAGTAATTAGGAATTTGGAACCTTGAAAAGCTGAACCAGCCACTAAGTGCACAACTATCTGGTAAGCCTTGGAACCAGGAGGAAAAACTTCTTTTATTTAATTAAACATAAGGCGATTTTGAAGTGTTTGTTGCGTACGTTTATAGCTTTGTTGCAGATGAGACTGCATTCGCCCAAATTAAAACAAACCAAACTTAAGAAATATAAAATATTTTAATCTATTATAAAGATTAAGTAAATTCAAGTTAATTCAATAAAATTTTTCCTAAAAAAAGTCAAACGATGTTTTTTGGTTATGTAAATTAGATCTTACCTCATAGACAATATGAGGTAAGATCTAACTGATGATATTAAAGGAATTAGTGTAAGGGTTACATGCCCCCAATTAGCACATAACTACACCATCAATATCAAGGAAATGGCTAGTAATTATCAAAATAAAAATCAAATAATATGTTTAGATATTATTAATATAAAAACACATAACTGACGTCGTGAAATTTGTAAATAGTGCAATATTTTAAGGAAACATTTTGTAGTTTTGTTATTCTTGACTAAAACGCGAAAATGGCTACTATTATTACTATCTTACTATTTTCAAATTTTAATTAGCATTGTTCCTTTAGGTAGCCTTTTGGCAAATGGATTTAATAAATATTCAGAGGTTAAAATTGTGTACAAAAAATATAAAACTTTTAGAAAAAAAAAATATTTTTAAATTTTTTTTGATTCTAGGATTTTTTTTTGGAAAACCATGTTGAATTTATTTGAATTAACTTTAATATCTTATGACTCTATTTGAGAGGATGTTTTTTAATTACCTAAAATTTTGTTGTTCAAGACGTTTCCATTTTTTTTTGTAAAAAAATCTCCATTATTTTGTCAATATCTTGCGACTTTCTACACGCTTCACCTTTAGCGATCCAAATAGTTTGTCGTCATTCCATTACACACGCAATCCAGATGCAATTTGTTAATATACTACAATTGAATTATAATGCCAATGTGGTTACGAGATTGTATCTTTAATTTAGGAAGGTAATAGTTTTGAACAAAATCAACTTCTTTATTTTGCTAGAGGGGATTACGAATTTTTTTCAAAGTATTAAATACGTGCACTTTTCTAGTTATAATTAATTTGCTACAAAATCGATATTCAACGTTTTTAAATGCTGTATTGTTACATTCAAATTAAATTTGATATTATATCTAACTCTTCAAAAAATTCACACGTATTTGTGATCAGAATATTTAGTACTGTTTTAGAGAAAAATTGAGGGTTTTTCATAACTCAAACAATGGAAAAGTACATTTTAAGAAAAAAAATATCTGTTTCATATCTACCAAGTTGTGAGAAAATCTTTAATGTCGTGTATATGAACATGATTAAAAAAATCATCTCAATCCGCTTAAAATATACCTACAAAGCTTTTATAAATGATTTTGTTTTGAATAGTAATTTTTATTACCTTCGCATTGGCCATTAAAATTAAAAATTATTCAAACAGTGACATCAAGATTACGTTAAAATACAATAATTTGTGATTAATTAATATGTAATTTTTCCCGATATTGATGACGTGAGATTTAGGAACTTTTAAGTGAAAGTGCCAATTGTGCAATGTTGGTTGCCTAAGTTCGACGGACGTTTCCTATATTTCTGTCGCTAAGCATTTGTTCGTTTTCACTGGAATTAACGACCTTTTATATTTAAATAATTGTATTACTATTTGCGGTATATTCATAGAAAACATTTCAAAACTTCTTTATTTAGATGAATGTTGCATTTATTTTGATTGAATGATGTATTTGTCATCTATTCAAATTTTATCATATAATCAAACAATGTGGAAAAAAACTGGTATTTTTCCACTTTTAAATAAAATCATTATTTCACTCACAATTTGGCGGCAATACAGTTGTAGCATTAAATTATGTTTTAAATGTGCCATCTATTAATAAGGAGTAACTAAAATCTTATACTTCTGTCTTTCTTCTTTTATTTAACAATAAAAAGACGGAGAGTAGTTACTTAAATATGAAGTCACAAAACACTAAAATTTTTATTATGGATACAAAAAATTAAATTTACATGTAAGTATTGTAGATGACGACGAAATTTTGCTATTTAAGACGAGTCTGGTCTTGGGTATAACAGATCACTCTTACAACTCTACTACCAGATTTTATTTTCTCTTATTAGGCTCTATTTTCAGTGGTAGCACCACTATTTTAGAAATAATTTTAAGAAACTATGATTAGGTAATTTTATTTAGTTCAAAACCTGCTGTGAGACGTTTCTACATTTATGTATTTCGCTAAATTGTCTATAAATAAAACAGAATCAATATTCATTAGAACAATGTTATAGAATTACGTAATTATGTAATACTTAAACAGGACCGGCTTCATACATATTGCAGTCTTAGGCAAGCTAAGTATTTTAAGTTTTGAAAAATTGTGTCCATTTTTCACATATCATGAATTTAAACGCTAACGTTTACCACGAAGCTTAGCATTACAATGTTATATTCCTTAAAATCCTACTTGTATCTTTAACACTTTATTTGCCAATTTCTTATGACAGCAAACTTGCGTACCTCCTTAAGCAGGCGCCTTACACAAATGAGGAAAATCATCCGGGTCACCACTGTAAGAATTCTTGATGTATGATATAAGCGTTAACTGTATTGCGGCGCGTCAAATTTTGATAACTTTTGGGAGAGGTCAACCTATAAATCAAAATAGAGTTACTAACAAAAACTCAATAGCGAGATGTGCGATGTTTGTTTCGAATTCTACACGTTGAATTCTTTTCGTGTTGTGTGAAGTGGAAACATAATTTACTATGATCAATTTGTTTTATAAGTTATATTCTCCGTCATATAAGAATTAAGATTTTTTTTAATTTCCGTTCATTAAATTTTTCAAACTTCATTAAAAAATAATAAAAGGTATCAATGAAAATACGATGAGCATTTTTTTGTATAATTATAGTTACTTCATCAAACATATCAAGGCCAATAAAAAATGAATATTTTTTTATAGAAAAATTAATCAATTTTGCAGTCTAGTGAACCTGAACATAATGAATTTTTCTTAATGTATGATGAAGCAATATATTGATATGTTCTTTATATACAATCTGGGCAAAACTTCTAAATATATCATAGACATGTAACTAGAGCTGTCAGAGAGGACCGCAATTCAATGGCGTGCCAAGCGTGTCGACCGAGACATGCGTGAGCCGCTGTCTCAGAATGTTTTTATGTTCACGTCACATTGGTATACTGTTGCTTTGTTATTAAGCGGTTGCGTAATTAATTCCTATCCGTTAGTGTTTATGGTGGTATATTGTAGACAATTTGTTGCTCTACTGTTTGGTCATTAACAGTCCTATATTCTATAAACCTACATAAACTCTGATTGATTTATATCAGTATTATTCCAGCAAAGGAAACTTTGCATTTGATATGAAAACGATTACTTTATTAAAATAAAGTTGAAGAAGGTTGTGTTTGCATAACCTTTGTGAAAGAGTTTTAAATATTGCAATACCTTATATGTTACATTATAAATGTTTCACCCATTACAGTCTCGTGGTGTTATAGTACTAATATTCTTTCGTGCTAAATAAAGTGAATGAACTGAACTGATTAAACTGAATCTGATTAAACTGAAAGTGAGTTTTATTCGTTCCAACTTGTACACAAAAGAACAATATCGGGATAAAACGTTGGTGTTGAAAGGAGTTAATGTTTGAGGTTATAGTTTTGTTTTCAATTTTGTAGGCGTTGTCATGGAGTCCCACCAGGTTAGAATGAAAAAACATTTTTTGAAGTTTTTTCAACTAAGCCTCAAATTCTAGTAGTAGTAGTAGTAGACTAGGCGGTATCTGTTTTGGTTTGGGTGAATCGTATATCCACGGAGATTTTTGGCTTTTTGGCTTTCAAATATCACTAGAAATGAAAATTTTTCTATGCGCATAAAAAAAACGTGGGCTTAACTTTTGGCGGCACAATATGTTAAAAAAATTGGAAAAATGTCATATTTTTCTTCCTATTTAATTATGTATCTTTTTAAGAGTTGATTTTAGGCGAAAATGGAAGAGGAAAAAAATGTTTGTAATTAAATTTTTTACAATACATGACTGGTTACAAATCGAATGAATCATGATTATTATGGTAAAAATCGAAAAAATCACAAAAATGGGGTTAAAAAACAATACTTTTTAGGGAATTTTTTTGGTGTATTTAAATTGGGTGTAGGACCTTTAT